TGAAAAAGATAAATTGTGATCAAAACATAATGTGTGACCTAAAAAATTGTTAATTTGTGATCGATAATTTGATAATTTTTTACTATCTAATAAGTTGTGACTTATAATATTTGTGATTTTTGATTGTAACCAATGAACAAATTGTGATCTATAAATTTTTTGAATTCTGACGTTAAAATAATTTGTGATATATTAAATTTGTGATTTGTGACCAATAAATAATATGTGACTTATTAGTTTTATAAATTTGTGACCAATGAAAAAGTTGTGACCTATAAAATTTTTGATTTGTGATCGTGAAATAATTTGTGATCAAATTATATGGAATTGTGACCTTAATATATTTAATTTATTTATTTATAAATAAAATTTTAAAAAATCTGACATTTGAAATTAAAAACCTTAGATTCATAAATTTGAAATGGGGGGAATTTAAACTCTTATTTATGAATTTTTCCAGTCTACAATTCTTACGATTTTTTATATAGTCGGCGGCATAGCATACTACGATGTCAAAAGGGTGCTAGTCGATGGTGGTACTGCCGCAAACGTTCTCACTTGAGAAGCTTTCGTGGGGTTGAAAATCCCTTTAGAAAAGTTGAAAACAGTGTCCACCCCCTCCTGGGAATTAACACCAATGATGATACTAGATCTTGAGCTTACAAGGGGACGGATTGAGCCTCTCAATACTACGGAAAAATTTTTAGTGGACGAAAGAATTAACACGAGTGATGATACTAGATCTTGAGCTTACAAGGGGACGGATTGAGCCTCTCAGTACTACGGAAAAAATTTTAGCGCCTGCAGGGCGTGAATAAGGGGTAGACCTAACACAAATGGAAAAAAAAAAAGAATTTGTGAAGAGTTTGTCTAGCAACTTTGACATTTTTGAATAGTGCTCGAGCGATATCAAGGGATTGATCATTCTGTTTCACAACATCGCCTTGGTGTTCTACCAGGAGCTTAACCAATAAAACAAAAGAAAAGAAACATTGCCCCAGAGCGATGACTGCGGCGAAAGACGAGGTCGATAAGCTACTGCAGGCAGGGTTCATTAGAAAGGTACAAT